GAAAATTTCCTGATTTAAGGAGTGTTATATACGAATGGGAGAGCTGGGAAACTCAAGTCATCCATCTTATTGCATCATATCATAAAAATAATCTGTAGCTGATGCTTTCTTTCCAAATGCTGAGTGTTTGCAGAGCATGTGCACAAAGAGGAAGGCAAGTGGGATGGAAGGCCAGCCGCTGCCCTTCCCTGGAGAGGTTGCACGTGGGGCACAGTATGTCCTTTTGGCCTTTGGACCTGCTAGCAGGCAGCTGATTCTCCTCAGCTCTGCGAACCTCTGGGTTTTAAAGCATGGTGTGTTTTACAGGTGGACATCCAGAATGAGACCACCTCAAAACAAAATAAAAAAAAATAGCCTTGAAGATGTTGCCCCTAGATGCCTGTCTGTGTGTTGTTTGATCTAGGAAAGAGAGAGCCTCTGGGTGGGGAAACTATAATTTCCTACATATGTAAAATGTTTAAGCACTACCTTTTTTTTTTTTTAAAGTCTGCTATCTTAATTAAATATCTGATTTTGAAATCCATATTCAGGCATCTTTCCTGATTGCATCCAGCAGACTGCAGTTCCCATTCACAAAGCCCCTTGTTTTTTGCTAGCTTTCCTTGGATTTATTTGCAGGGCAGTGTTTTGTTTTCTCTGTAAGCCATTTGGAATACATCTTCACAAGCACTGTACCCGGAGGGTTTGTATGTCATTCAAAAATAAAAATAAAAAATCTCCACCTACTGAAAAGTGAACAGCATAGCCCTAGCAACCGGCTGGTGTGTTCAAACCAGAGGAAGGGACATTAAACAAGTAAGACCAAATAACATCTTCTCTCTAACGGCCAGGGATGCAGTAGAAATGCCAGCTAGTGATAAGATTAATTGTAACTAGTGGTGGAGATAGCTGCATTTGTATTTTATTTTTATTTTTTAATGGTGGATTGTAAATACAGCCTTGATGAAGTGATGCTTATTCTTGTCTGCATGAGCAAGGTATTTGGCTGGGAGCTCTAAAAGGGGGATCTGCCTCTGTAAAAACAACCCCCCCGACCCATCTTGCACTGATTGTGCACACAGGAAGGTAAGTGTCATCGTTTTCGTGGAAAGCAAGAGAAAACTTATTTTAAATGGTCCGTCAGACAGGGTACTGTCAGTACTTGCCTGCCAGGTGTGTTCTCGATGGCGTTATGCCAGGGGTGGATTTTGTCCGTCTGCCTCTCTATCTCCTGTGTGCACCTTGGTTTCTCATTCATCTTATTTAAACTGCTTGGCATCATCTGCAATATTAGCTATTCCTTATTTTCCTAAGGAGATCATTTGTGCTTCTCCAAGGTGGATTTTCATTCATGTTTACCTGACTGTGTGGTTTTCCCTAGTCACTGCCAACAAAAAAACGCAAAGCCTTGAGTTTTCTCTTAGGTTTTATTTCTATTAGACCAACGCCGTAAAAAGCAAAGAGTAGAGAAAGGAACACACGTATCGGGAAAGCTCTGCTGTGTTAGTGGGCAGCCGAGGCTCCTCTCAAAGTTTGTGAAGGCAGAGGCAATCTCTGTGCCCTTCTGTAGGCGCAGGGATCATCCGCTGATGTTTCAGTATTGTCCTCTTTCCTATAATCCACAAAGGGCTGTTGATTTATGACTTCTGTATAATAATTGTGTTTCTTTGACTCCCTCTGCACCTCCCCTTCCCACCCTCTTCCTCTTGCAGTTTGTTGTCTTTTCTTGTTTCATGCAGTTTGGTTCTTCAGTCTGCGGCTGTATGAGGTCTTTGATCTCCCCCCTGCCCATCCGTTCCCCGCGTGCTGGTGATGGTGTGCAGAGAATAAAAGCGATTCTATTCCCTTACCGGGGAAGGATGCCTCCAATATTATTTTTCAATCACAGCAGTTTTACTTCCTGACTGCTCGATGTGCTGCACTGTGCTGGGAAGGTGGCCAGAGCAGGATGTGCTATTCCAGGCTGGTTTTCAATGACCACTTTTAGGACCAAATAACTGGGGAAACAGGATTTTGTTGCGTCATCTCCAGCTGTTCGGCTTGGGTTTTTTTTGTTCTTTTTTATTTCACCTCTCTGAGTTTCTCCGCTGTAGGCTTGGTCGGAGTGCTAGCAGATGCTTCATGGGTGGTGGAAGGTTTTTTGCAGATCAGTGTGTTTGCACGGTCTTGCTTCATTAAATTTTTTCGTAAAATTTCTGACTGCTGCTCTCAGCAGCACATCTCCCTTTGCAGTAGCAGTGGAGGAGGCACTGTGGAGACTGACGTGTCGCTCTCCTTGGAGGTAGGACCAGGTAACAGTGGGGTAGATGCTGGCGGTCTCTTGGATGGTGCTGGTACCACCATCTGCCACTGCTGCTCTTGTCAGTAGAGTTATCTTAGGGATTTTTGACAACCATGGACAAAACCCTTGTTTAGGAAGAGCAAGAAGGGCTTTATTTGGAAACGTGAGGAGTGGCTTGTGCCTGGATGAAGCACAAGGATGGTGATTTTTCTGTGCCTATGAGCAATGGCTTTATTATGCAAGTGTAAATTAGCAGTTCCTTGCCCCCAGTTAATGTCTTTCCTGGACAGAAGGTGAGAAACAAGGGGTACACGGTGAACAAATGTGATTTGGGAGCACTCTGTTCCTTCGTGCATTTTTAGCCTGTAGTAGGCTTCTCTTAGGCAGCCTCCTCGGCACTGTATTTAATGCTTGATCGTGACCTGCGCTGAGCTCACTGATAGCTGAGGTGGGAAGGCACCAGTGGAGGTCTCCAGCCCACCCCCTGCCCAAAGCAGGA